CTCATTAAAATGCAAATCAATTTATAACATTTTTGACATGTGTTTTTCTGGATTTTGTTGTTGTTATTCTGTCTCTCACTGTTCAAATAAACCTTTTATTGGAGGGGTTGAATGGAGCTGAAGGGACTAATAACAACAAGATAACTCATGTAAATATACTGTGTCCGTAAAATGTATATACAGTGGGGAAAAAAAGTATTTAGTCAGCCACCAATTGTGCAAGTTCTCCCACTTAAAAAGATGAGAGAGGCCTGTAATTTTCATCATAGGTACAAGTCAACTATGACAGGCAAAATGAGAAAAAAAATTCCAGAAAATGACATTGTAGGATTTTTTATGAATTTATTTTCATATTATGGTGGAAAATAAGTATTTGGTCAATAACAAAAGTTTCTCAATACTTTGTTATATACCCTTTGTTGGCAATGACACAGGTCAAACGTTTTCTGTAAGTCTTCACAAGGTTTTCACACACTGTTGCTGGTATTTTGGCCCATTCCTCCATGCAGATCTCCTCTAGAGCAGTGATGTTTTGGGGCTGTCGCTGGGCAACACGGACTTTCAACTCCCTCCAAAGATTTTCTATGGGGTTGAGATCTGGAGACTGGCTAGGCCACTCCAGGACCTTGAAATGCTTCTTACGAAGCCACTCCTTCGTTGCCTGGGCGGTGTGTTTGGGATCATTGTCATGCTGAAAGACCCAGCCATGTTTCATCTTCAATGCCCGTGCTGATGGAAGGAGGTTTTCACTCAAAATCTCACAATACATGGCCCCATTCATTCTTTCCTTTCCAGTCGTCCTGGTCCCTTTGCAGAAAAACAGCCCCAAAGCATGATGTTTTCACCCCCATGCTTCACAGTAGGTATGGTGTTCTTTGGATGCAACTCAGCATTCTTTGTCCTCCAAACACGACGAGTTGAGTTTTTACCAAAAAGTTCTATTTTGGTTTCATCTGACCATATGACATTCTCCCAATCCTCTTCTGGATCATCCAAATGCACTCTAGCAAACTTCAGACGGGCCTGGACATGTACTAGCTTAAGCAGGGGGACACGTCTGGCACTGTAGGATTTGAGTCCCTGGCGGCGTAGTGTGTTACTGATGGTAGGCTTTGTTACTTTGGTCCCAGCTCTCTGCAGGTCATTCACTAGGTCCCCCCGTGTGGTTCTGGGATTTTTGCTCACCGTTCTTGTGATCATTTTGACCCCACGGGGTGAGATCTTGCGTGGAGCCCCAGATCGAGGGAGATTATCAGTGGTCTTGTATGTCTTCCATTTCCTAATAATTGCTCCCACAGTTGATTTCTTCAAACCAAGCTGCTTACCTATTGCAGATTCAGTCTTCCCAGCCTGGTGCAGGTCTACAATGTTGTTTCTGGTGTCCTTTGACAGCTCTTTGGTCTTGGCCATAGTGGAGTTTGGAGTGTGACTGTTTGAGGTTGTGGACAGGTGTCTTTTATACTGATAACAAGTTCAAACAGGTGCCATTAATACAGGTAACGAGTGGAGGACAGAGGAGCCTCTTAAAGAAGTTGTTACAGGTCTGTGAGAGCCAGAAATCTTGCTTGTTTGTAGGTGACCAAATACTTATTTTCCACCATAATTTGCAAATAAATTCATAAAAAATCCTACAATGTGATTTTCTGGATTTTTTTCTCCTCAATTTGTCTGTCATAGTTGACGTGTACCTATGATGAAAATTACAGGCCTCCCTCATCTTTTTAAGTGGGAGAACTTGCACAATTGCTGGCTGACTAAATACTTTTTTCCCCCCACTGTAGGTTCAGAACTTTTGTTAAACAGCACAGTTAAAAATATATGACAAATAGAACTCAAACTGGATGGACATCACAAATAGATGGGAGGGGTTGAGGAAGGACAGGACTAAAAACAAACAAAATATAACTATTGTAAAATAGATAGTGTCAGTAAAATGTATATAGTATGTATAAGTGGGAAGTAGATGCCTAAGTGTTCATTAGTTCACTCCAATTAGGGGAGCGGTGGTAGGGTTAGTGGAAAATAATAAAGGAAAATATATTTTAAAAATATGTATGTATGTATGTGCATTCGGAAAGTATTCAAACCCTTTCACTTTTTCCACATTTTGTTATGTTATACACTACTGTTCAAAAGTTTGGGGTCACTTAGAAATGTCCTTATTTTTGAAAGAAAAACAATATTTTTGTCCATTAAAATAACATCAAATTGATCAGAAATACAGTGTAGACATTGTTAATGTTGTAAATGGCTATTGTAGCTGGAAACTGCTGATTTTTTTATGGAATATCTACATAGGCGTACAGAGGCCCATTTATAAGCAACCATCAGTCCTGTGTTCCAATGGCACGTTGTGTTTGCTAATCCAAGTTTATCATTTTAAAAGGCTAATTGATCATTAGAAAAACCTTTTTCAATTATGTTAGCACAGCTGAAAACTGTTGTGCTGATTAAAGAAGCAATAAAACTGGCCTTCTTGAGACTAGTTGAGTCTCTGGAGCATCAGCAATTGTGGGTTCGATTACAGGCTCAAAATGGCCAGAAACAAATAACTTTCTTCTGAAACTCGGCAGTCTATTCTTGTTCTGAGAAATGAAGGCTATTCAATGCGAGAAAATGCCAAGAAACTGAAGATCTCGTACAACGCTGTGTACTACTCCCTTCACAGAACAGCGCAAACTGGCTCTAACCAGAATAGAAAGAGGAGTGGGAGGCCCCGGTGCACAACTGAGCAAGAGGACAAATACATTAGTGTCTAGTTTGAGAACAGGCACCTCACAGGTCCTCAACTGGCAGCTTCATTAAATAGTACCCTCAAAACACCAGTCTCAACGTCAACAATGAAGAGGCGACTGCCCATCTTAATATTTTATTTTTATTGGCCAGTCTGAGATATGGCTTTTTCTTTGCAACTTTGCCTAGAAGGTCAGCATCCTCTTCACTGTTGACGTTGAGACTGGTGTTTTAACACATAGTTAGCCTAGTACACCTCTTATAGCATAGCAAAGTTATATATCGTATTGTCTGCCGATTCACATGAAGTGATCAGAAACCAGTAAGTCATTGATTGTTAATAAACAATCGATAAGACCGTGCCTCACCTGGGAACGGTGAGCAAATCAGGATCCCAGCAGCCACATCGCTGGTGGTGTCAATGGGTAAACCTGTCTGCTATGAAGGTCACAGAGCAGTAGGGGAGGGCCTCATCGATGCACACAGCTATGGAGAAACCCACCACACCCCCACCCACCACCATACCTTCACACACTTCATCTCAGGATGATTCTGCTGGGAGAAAAACTACAAAATACTACCTAGACACTTGAATTGTGTTATACATTTACATTTTACCTGATTTGTGCAAACACCTTTAGGTTATATGTTAAGGTAATTATTATCAAATGTAAATCTTTATCAAAACAGCTGGACAGTGTTCCAGATATTGCAATCTGGGCTAAAGGTTAAGGATAAGTGGGTTGGTTGGTTATGGTTTATTACACAGCAAATACAATATGCTATTTGTAAAACCACAACCGATCCACTTGACTTAATTAAGTGCTCAACATTCAACCTTTTTTGTCAACCTTTTCATTTTTAATAATCTGGATGAAACATATCCAACACTGTTTAGGATTTTGAAGTTAAAATAGCCTACATTTGCATAATAACCTCATTAATTCTCTATTCAGAAAAAAGTTGCAGAAATATTACTTTTAAAACATTTTAATTTACAGATAAAACACTTATTTGCCCATAGTCTTATGATGCATAACAGTACTTCTCCAACAAATGTTTGACCTACCTGCAGGCTGTACGAGTTTATCAACTCATTTATTACTCTGTATAATTAACCCCGAATCATTACATAGAAATCCTGCTCTATAAGCCTCTGGTGGGACTACCAGTTATTTATGACATAAAATGCTAGGATACTGACCAATTATTTATATTTACATCATTGATACTGTAAGAATGTCCCACAAGTTGTTCCAGTTTACCTTAGTCAAACAACAGGCATGACTGGAGTCTGGAGATCTATAAAGATTCGCCTAAACAACATTTATTATAATAATGTGAAAGATTCGACCACGGAGTAATAATAATAACTATTCGACTCCCATAAACAAACATTTCCTTGCTCCTGGGCATAGATATAACAACACAGTGGATAGATTAATGCAGTGAGAATTTGAAAAATGGTACCAACCAAAGCATATAAAGATCGTGAATTCAAACTGCGCGAACCTGAAACACCCGTGAACAACCTCCACATCTCGCGATAATCTGAACGACTGCGAAGAAGAGACGGTAAGGTCCTGAAAGCTTGATATATTGTTAAAAAGGCATTGCAGTGTTTGCAGCTATGATAGAAATGCTGAGAAAGTTTCTTAGTCTTTTCACTGAACAGTGTTATCTTGTTTGGATTTTGGGTTCCACTTGAAGTGCATTCATTGTGTATAATGTAGAAAGCTTACATGGCGCCCGCCTGTGTTGTGTCGCTGTTTGAAACGATGCAAAAATGTATGTGCACACTTCTCAGTGACTTTGTGACCAGTGATCGCTAAATTGATCTGTCCTATGGCTCTTCAACAGCTCTTACTAAGGTCCCAAACAGCTATTGGTCGACAAATGCTGTATCTATGTGAAAAAACGCTAAAAAATCGAGAGAATTGTTTTCTCGAGTGAGAGCGCCTGGAGCACTCATTGTTCTGTAGGCTGCAGTAGCGAATTATGTGTGAATGTGTGTGGCGTCAGCTGAGCCCTGAAAAGTTCAGATAAGATTGATGGGCTATATGTAAATTTCAAGCAGGCTCACAATTAGGAACTGTGTGAATTATAATGGTCACATCACAGCTTTGTGCCAATCTCAACATATTCCATGCAATTTACTGCACTTTATTAGGCCTATTTCTTGCAAATTATGTTTCAGATTGAGTTTCACTTTGTTGCAGGTGGTGAGGTTTGGTTAGAATCATACTTCACAATCCATCCTCAAGAAAATGTCTGAGAAGACCCTAATCACACCCACCTCCCTCACAGCCCTTCATTCAACAACACACAAGGACACCATCCTCTGCAAGTTTGACAAGCTGAGAAAACGAGAGCTCCTGTGTGACATCACCCTTATCGTAGAAGATGTGCACTTCAAAGCACATAAGGCCCTGTTGGCCGCCAGCAGTGACTACTTCTCCCTCATGTTCACTGCTGAGGAGCAGATCAGCCAGTCTACCTACAGGCTGGACGGCATGGCGGCGGAGACCTTCGGCGCTGTACTGGAGTTCATCTACAGTGCCCAGGTATCTAGGGGTGGAAATGGGGTTGATGGAAACGGGGTTCTGTGGAGTGAAATCCCAGGGGGAAACCAAAATAATTTATACATTTACATAAATGTGCATTTTACATTGAATTCAAGGAGTGTAATAATTTGTATGTGCACTGAAAATTCAAGGATCTTTCATCTGAGAGTGATTTTCTTCCATTTCTACCCCTGCAGGTATCTGTGGAGGAGAGCGTTACAGAGCAGCTACTAGACCTGGCCAGACTCCTAGAGGTTAGTGACCTTGTGAAAGCCCATGCGGACCATAACCTGAACATTACCTATCCGGGTGTAGAGGGAAGAGGCCTTAGTAACATCACCTATCCTGGTTTCGAGGTGAGACCGGAAGTGAATACAGACGGTGGAGAAGGTAAAGGACTGGGAGGAGGGACATCGTCAGCGATGCAGCCTAAACGGAAAAGGGGTCGTCCCAGGAAGAATGAAGTGGACATGTCTGTGAAGATATTGGAAGAGTCCAATAAACAGGAAGTAAGAAGTGATGTCATCACCATCCAGGAAGCAGCCAATGAAAAACAGCAGGTTATAGTTAATGATGTCACAGTAGACTGTGTAGACACTGAAGAATGTCTGGTTGAGTCACATGATAAACTGGCTTCTCCAATAAGAGATTCTGATGATGCAGACTATGATCCTAGATCAGCCCGTACTAGGCGGCAGAGTAAGAGGAAGATCAGGCCGCCAGTGAAATTTAAGGGCTACAGAGTGGGGGACCGGGACGACACTACGTCTGAATGCAGAGAGCCAGGGAAGAGGGGCAGGAAGAGAAAATACCCCAACACAGAGGCACGGTGTGAAGACTGTGGGAAAGTGTTCAAAAGCCACCTGTTCTTAAAGATACACCAAAGAACTCATACAGGTGAGGCCTGGGACCTCTACTAGTCTCTACCACTTCCAGGATTTTTTTTATTGGCTCATTTCAATTCATTATAAACAGAATTACTAGCACATATTTATTTCTGACAAGTTCCTCACAGGTGAGGCCTGTGACTATCCCTCCAATTAGATTAAAGCGTATTCTTTTATAGGTCTGAGTGATAATGTTTTAAAATGTTCCCACCAGGTGAAAAGCCGTTCAAGTGTTTTGCGTGTGGGAAGAGTTTCACACAGAAGCACACCCTCCTGGTTCACCAGCGGATGCACACTGGAGAGAAACCCTTCGTCTGTACCGTCTGCTCTAAAGCCCTGTCAACCAAACACTCACTAGTGGATCACATGAACCTACACACAGGTTGCCTATTTGACTGACTTATAGCTAGTGATAATGCTTTACTGTGTTTCTTTGGGTATACAACTTCAATCAAAATGTATAAAATGTATCCCTGTTCAATTCTGCTTTCATCTTTCATATTCAGAATAGCTAAAGTATAAGTTTGCCTTTAATTAATTGGACTTGGACTGTTATTCTCTCTTTTGAATCCTAGAGGAGAAATCATTCAGCTGTGACAAATGTGGAAAGATGTTCAGCCAGAAGAGACAACTAAAGAGCCACTACAGGGTCCATACGGGTAAATCTTTACCAGAATGTGCACACTGTCAACGTAGGTTCATGGATGCAGCTCAACTGAAGAAGCACATGAGAACCCACACAGGTAGAGTGAGACGAGGTTGAACTTATACAAATTCTAGTGTGTTACTATGTAATAAGTTGTTGTTGTTGCTGATCTTGTTGTTGTTACAGGTGAGAAGCCTTTCACTTGTGAGATCTGTGGAAAGTGTTTTACAGCCAAGAGCACCTTACAGACGCACATCAGGATTCACAGGTGTGATATGACTTATACAAGGTTGAGTTATTCCACAAGGTCTAGTCATAGAATGTATCTACACCAATCCTGAGATGGTGAAAAAAACACCCTTACCGTATGTTTATTTGATTTATTTTCACATAAAATATGACACAATGTATGTGCATGTGAGGATGACAAACTCAGAAGGGGCTTATAACGAACGTGTTCTACACATGAAGAGCACAACAAATATTTACATTTTACATTACATTTTAGTCATTTAGCAGACGCTCGTATCCAGAGCGATTTACAGTTAGTGAGTGCATACATTATTTTTTTATTTTTCATACTGGCCCCCCGTGGGAATCAAACCCACAACCCTGGCGCTGCAAACGCCATGCTCTACCAACTGAGCTACATCCCTGCCGGCCATTCTCTCCCCTACCCTGGACAACGCTGGGCCAATTGTGCGCCGCCCAATGGGTCTCCCGGTCGCGGCCGGCTTCGACAAAGCCTGGATTCGAACCAGGATCTCTAGTGGCACAGCTAGCACTGCGATGCAGTTCCTTAGACCACTGCGCCACTCGGGAGATTGTCTAATGGTTGTGTTGCATTGTCATGGCGACTAAAATGCTGGTGTAGTGTCCACAGCTGGTGTTGCAGAGCGGACAGGATAAGCTGCCAAAATCACTTCCTCTCCTCCATTTCTTTTCTCCTCTCCCCCTCTTCCTCGTTTTCCCTGAGGGTCTCCATTTGTCTTTTATGTAGGTTTACAAGATATGGAAGTTCTAAGAATAAAATGTATCTGAAAAGTCCCCATTAAAACCTCCTATGCTTCTGTTATTTAAATATGTATCGAATGTGTTGATATGGCACATTCTGAAGACATCAAAGAGAAAAGAGCTCTGCTTAAAAATACTGTTGGTTTGTACATTTGGAAACCTGTGCTTTGCTGTATGCATATTATTTTTATGCATCTAATCTAGTGGTATCTAAGGTTCAGACTGTAGCATTTTGATAATTGTGATGTTTGATTGAAAGGTTTCAGTCTCTGAGCTTCCTTCCTTCTCCTTAGTAAGATAATGGTGTCAGGGTCAGTGGTAACAGAGGAAGCTAATGATTTGCTTTGGTATGTCCAGTTGAACTACGACCTCCAGAGCTCTGATACCCAGCATCGTCCTCAGGGCCACTCTGCTCAGCTGCTGCAGACTCAATGGAGTACTTTCATAAAACTCTAAGCAGAGTGCAGTGGGAGAGCCGGGTTCGATGTAGTCAATGGGCTTCTTATCGTTTTTGTCTATATAAATATGAAAGAAAATGTGATCCAACCCATATCCATTTACCAGTGTTAACATGTTTGTGTTTCCAGAGGAGAGAAGCCATATGTCTGTAACATCTGCAACAAGTCATTCTCTGACGCCAGTGCCAGGCGACGTCACGTAGCCTCCCATACCGGAAAGAAGCCCTTCACCTGCTCCTTCTGCAACCTGTCCTTTGCTCGCCTGGACAACCTGAAGACCCACACCAAAACCCACAACAAGGAGAGCGTAGTCACCATCACCACCGAGGAGGCCCAGAGCGGGGCTGGGGTGGTGGAGGAGGAGGCTGGGGTCACCACAGGGGCAACGGAGGAGGTAGTTAGGCCATTTTAAGTGTCACGCCACAATATTACAGTATAATCGACAATACAAATTACAGATTTCAAAACCACACTATGGACCACTCAGAGCTTTGTGACACTGTAGGCAATCATAGTGAAGTAGGTCATTGATATCAGCTATAATACATGACATCATCTATACACAGGTACGCAGCATCCTACAGCTCCAGCAGTACCAGCTACCTGGCCACCCAGAGCAGGAGATACAGCTGGTTGTGACTGGAGATGTGGATAACCTCAATTTTGTGCCCAGTCACTGTGGGCATGATCAGGGCATCAGCATTATTACTACAACAGAGGGAGGGGTCTCGGAGGCGGCAGACCAGGCCCATTCCAGACTGACCCTCCTCACCCAGCCGTCAGGACACATGCAAAACGTGGCCTTGGTCACACAGGTAAAGTTCCCTATATACTGCACTACTATTGTAGTACACTTTGTAGGGAATAGGGTGCCATTTGGGACGCTGACAATGTATTGTACAGTCCCCTTGCTTTTATGCAGGGTTTATTATTTTGTTTATTTGTATCGTATTTGGACACACCAGCCATCAGTACTCAGGTCTATGTGTGCAGATGTACAGTATGTCTATGTATCTGTATTGTCCTATGCTTGTCCAATGCTGGGTTTCCCCTCTAGGGCTCAATAAAGGTATAGGGCTTTGAGCTTTTGGTTATTTGAATGGCGTGTTAAATCCAATGTATTATTATTATTATTCAATTCAGGGCAGCGTGGACCATCACAACCAGCAGATCCAGACTATCAGCGTCCTGCAGGACGGACACATGACCAACGGGGTTGGGGTCGCAGGTCAGCCTGAACAGATGCATGTCATCACTCTATCCAAGGAGGACATGGAGCACCTTCAGGCCCACCACGGGCCGCCCCAGCCCCTACACATAGCACCCAGGCCTGGCTCCCTCCCTGGCCCTGGCTCTGTACAGCAGCTCCACGTCATGCACCAGCACCAGACCCTCTCTCAGCTGGCTGTCACCCAGGACCAGGGCGCCATGCTGGGGCAGATGAGCAGAGAGCAGCATGGTCAGGCCCAGGCTATCCACATCAACAGCCAGAGCAGCCAGCCCATCTCAATCAGTCAGACCAGTGAACAGATCCCAAATCACCATATCCAGGGCCAGACCTTCCAGATACAGGCTGGTACTGTCTCCTACCTCTACACCACCAGCCTAGCCCCGCCATAGCCCTGATACATGGCCGTAGACGACGCAAAGGAGTCAACAGCCATGTATCAGGACTAGCCCAGCCATAGACTGTATGGGCACAGCAGAACTGACTGAAGGAGAACCAGTCTGGCCCAACACAATTGACTTTGCCTTAGTTCACACTCAGGTTGGAAGATGGATGTAAAATGCATTTGTCACAATGGTTGTAAATAAAATTTAGTTATGCAGTAATACCAGGATGTTGATATTGTATGTCAAGTCACATAATGTAAAACAAATTGTATTGTGGGGTGGCATAAAAGCATTGTTTATATTATGAAGGTAAAATAGTGCCTTAAGTGTACAAGCATGTATGATTTGCACATGTAACATATGAGTTGCAACTGTTTAATCTATTTTTGTAGTTGCAAAAAATATTTGCCAACGTAACTTATTTTGTGAATAAATGCGACAACACTTGCAAGCACATAACGTGATGTGTGAATAAATACAACACTTACAAACATTTAAGTTGATATGTGAATAAATTCATTAAGATTTGGAAGCATGCAACTACACTGAACAAAAATATAAACACAACATGCAACAATTTCAAAGATTTTACTGAGTTACAGTTCATATAAGGAAAATTGTCCATTTAAATAAATAGGTCCAAATCTATGAATTTCATGACTGGGAACACAGATATGCATCTGTTGGTCACAGATACCTTTTTTTTTTTTTTTGTAGGGGCGTGGATTAGAAAACCAGTCAGTATCTGGTGTGACCACCATTTGCCTCGTGCCGCGAGAGCACCTATCCTTCGTATAGAGTTGATCAGGCTGTTGATTGTGGCCAGTGGAAGTTGCAGGCTATTGACGGGAACTAGGAACTGTCGTACACATCGATCCAGAGCATCCCAAACATGCTCAATGAGTGACGTGTCTGGTGTGTATGCAGGCCATGGTAGAACTGGGACATTTTTAGGTTCCAGGAACTGTGTACAGATCCTTGTGACATGGGGCTGTGCATTATCATGCTGAAACATGAGGCGATGGCGGCGGATGAATGGCACGACAATGGGCCTCGGGATCTTGTCACGGTAACTCTGTGCATTCAAATTGCCATTGATAAAATGCAATTGTGTTCGTTGTCAGTAGCTTATGCCTGCCCATACCTTAACCCCACCGCCACCATGGGGCACTGTTCACAACGTTGACATCAGCAAACCGCTTGCCCACACAACGCCATCTGCCCGGTACAGTTGTTTCCAGCCACCCCTCTCAATAGCAATTTTATCCTCCTCTTATAGATTTACATTTGTGGTGCTGTAATAGCGAGCCGAGACAGTATTGATGCCAGGGATATTGTTGGTGTCTGCGTGCTCCTGAAGTGCTGTGGCCCTGTGTGCTCTTTCATTAGTTTTGTTTTTATTCATTTATTTCTGGTACCCTCCTACCTGAGCGGAATGAGGCCTGTGTGGTGTTTCACTGTTAAAATCATTCCAGTGTGGAGATGTAACAAACACGTGTGCTGCAAAGCCACATGCTCTAAGGCCTCTCTGCTCTACCTAAGTGTTTTAATGGGCTGATGTGGGTAATACTAATACAGAAATAACCATTGTAAATGTATTTTCTCCTCTTTACTGCTTTAAGCCTTTTTATGCCATTGTTTACCACTTCCATGCCCTTAAATCTGTAGATTGAAGCATTTAAAACATTTTGTTTCACTATATTACATATTCAACAAGAAACATATCACACAATACAAGGGTGTCTGTGATGATTCTTATGTTTGCTTGTCCACTATCTCTCCTGGTAAATTAAGTTTTATATGTTTAGGTAATCAGCACTCAAGTCCACTTTACATGCATACTTAATACACATCCAAGGTTGATGAGTGCTAATTTCACGCAACTTTTTAAAAAGGGTAGTTGACATTTACAGATAGTCTAGCCAAAAACGAATTACCGTTTCAGCATGTATAAAGTAACAATACATCATCTTAGCAAATATTTTAAAAGGCAACCTAACATAATTCCTCTTACATCAGTACACAATAATGGTCAGGAAAATGTCAAGTTAGCTTCTAAAATGTAGACTACATATTTCCTACTTCTGTTTGCGTTCTCACTTCAGTATTTGCATATTTCCGTTAGGGAACGCGTCCTCCGTGAAGTGCGCTTGTGCACAAACCAATTCGGCCTTGCGCTCCTTCTAAACAACACACAAAAAAATGTTTACTTTGGCAAACCTCAAGTCTATAAAACTTAATGCACTGTGTTCGTAACAGATTCTAGTTTTGGGAACAGAAAAATGTACTGAGATCAGATGTTTCATCGATGAGAACATTTGTATAACTTCGGCCCAGTTCCACCTAGTTCCATCCTCTCCCACCACCCGCGACAGACTTTCTCTCACTAACATTAGGTGATGAGAACTTTCTTCTTCTTCGATGAGGTTTAACGGCGGTTGGCATCCAATAAATGCTGCATTACAGCCACCTACTAGAATGGAGTATAACTCCCTTATACTTTGCTTAAATAATAATAATACTAATACCCTACCATCTTACACTACACAAAACATAAAAATTATAATAAACACCATACTCCACTATTTAAATCTATTTAGTCCTACTTCAGGCCAACAGCCTGAAAGAATGGGACACCGCCACTTAACACACCCTGTAACTCTTCTGATGTCAAGTCCTGCACACCCAAATACCTCTCTGCAGCTGCCACCACAACCTCTATTTTCTGCGACTTACATTCCATCCCTGCAGTATAGTTGATAACCATTGCTATAAATGCCAAAAATCAAATCTTACTGAAACATATATCACTTGTTGGTTTATCCCTCTGTACTGGCACAGATCTACTACTCACACCACTCCTCTCAGGATCCCTCCCCCTTGACCCATCTTCCTCTACTTTCTTCACTGCCTCAACATATGACAACTTCTGCACTACTCTAACCCTGGAAACCTCAACTTGCTTCTCTCGCATGGGACATTTCTGATCCCCAGCCCCATGGGCATCCCTACAATTAACACATACCACTACATTCCCCAATGCTACACATTCCTATGTCTCATGCCCTTCTGCACACTTCTCACACCTAGGAACCTCCCTCCTACACACTGCTGCCACATGCCCATAAGCTTGACACCTGTAACAACGTAATGTAGTCGGCACAAAAGCTCATACAGGATAACTTAACATCACTTTCTGTCTTCAACTCACTCTGCTTACACTTTCTACCATTCTTCTTTAACAAACCATCTCCATTTTTTCTGCCATTTTTAACCAACTCAAGCTCACCTTTCCCTCTCTCTCTTAGACCTCCCCTGCCTCTCTTTTCCCCTCCATTCCTCCTCCATATTCCAAGTATAACTCTCATTATGATAAAACTGCACTTCTCCTGACATACATCTTGTTCTTGCCTTGTCAAGGGACGCCATTTAACCGGCTGTTACAATCTCCGTACAATCAGCACGAACCACTCGGGATGTAGCGCTCAGCAGTGCATCCCAGTTGTAAATCAGCAGCTTCGTCTTGATGTTCTTCTTTAGCAATAGCTACCCCGCCGCTTTTCCATTTCAAACAAGCGCGCTCTCTTTCTCCCAGATTCCTCGATTCGCTTGCTCAGTTCACTCTCAGCAGCGCATTACGACACACAACAATCAAGGCCTCTATCATTATCTATGGTAGCTGGTACTGCCAGAGAGGAAGAGGCAAAACTAGATGCACAGATAGAAAATGAGAACAATTAGAACATCTTTGCTAGAGGTTTTACCAGCGAGGAAGAGAGAGGCCCAACTCTGCGGAAAATCTGTCTCCCTCCAGCAGGTGGCGTTTTTTCGTTGTTTCGGCCATCAAGAAAGGAGTTTTTGTATGAATGTCAATGAGAGAGTGTCGAATGTGGTAAAAATAAGTAATGGCTTATTTACTACCTGAGGTTTATTTGATCAAATAGAAGTTTCGTAATGCTTAAGTTGTTATGAGTGTACTGATATAAGTAGGACACGTGACATCCCTGCAACCTTGAGAAAAAACACGTTATATCGGAGTTGTCTCGAGATGGCTTTGCATATTCATGTCATGAGGCTAGCAGCATAGCCTCTCTCTCCATCAAATAAAATAAAAATGTATTGGTCACATACACATATTTAGCAGATGTTATTGCGGGTGTAGCGAAATGCTTGTATTCCTAGCTCCAACAGTGCAGTGGTATCTAACAATTCACAACAATACACACAAATCTAAAAGTAAAAGAACGGAATGAAGAAATATATAAATATTAGGACAAGCAATGTCGGAGTGGCATTGACTAAAATACAGTAGAATATAATACAGTATATACATATGAAATGAGTAAAGCAGTATGTAAACATTATTAAAGTGACGAGTGTTCCATTATTGAAGTGACCAGTGATTCCATGTCTATGGCCTCTAAGGTGCAGGGTTGAGTAACCGGGTGGTAGCCGGCTAGTGATGGCTTTTTAACAGTCTGATGGCCTTGAGATAGACGCTTTTTTCAGTCTCTCGGTCCCAGCTTTGATGCACCTGTACTGACCTCACTTTCTGGATAGTAGCGGGGTGAACAGGCCGTGGCTCGGGTGGTTGATGTCCTTGATGATCTTTTTGGCCTTCCTGTGACATCGGGTGCTGTAGGTGTCCTGGAGGGCAGGCAGTGTGCCCCCGGTGATGCATTGGGCAGACCACACCACCCTCTGGAGAGCCCTGCGGTTGTGGGCGGTGCCGTTGCCGTACCAGGCGGTGATGCAGTTTGTGAGGGTATTAGGGGCCAAGCTGAATTTCTTCAGCCTCCTGAGGTTGAAGAGGCGCTGTTGCGCCTTCTTCACCACACTGTCTGTGTGGGTGGACCATTTTAGATTGTCAGTGATGTGTACGCAGAGGAACTTGAAGGTTTTCCACCTTCTCCACTGCGGTCCCGTTCATGCTGATAGAGGCGTGCTCCCTCTGCTGTACGATCAGCTCCTTCGTTTTGTTGATGTTGAGGGAGAGGTTATTTTCCTTGCACCACTCCACCAGGGCCCTCACCTCCTCCCTGTAGGCTCTCGTCATTGTTCGTGATCAGGCCTACTACTGTTGTGTCATCTGCAAACTTGATGATTGAGTTGGAGGCATGCGTGGCCACGCAGTCATGGGTGAACAGGGAGTACAAGAGGGGGCTGAGCACGCACCTTTGTGGATCCCCTGTGTTGAGGATCAGCGAAGTGTAGGTGTTGTTTCCTACCTTCACCACCTGGGGGCGGCCTGTCAGGAATTCCAGGACCCAGTTGTACAGGGCGGGGTTCAGACCCAGGGCCCTGAGCTTAATGATGAGCTTAGAGGTTACTATGGTGTTGAAGGCTGAGCTATAGTCAATGAACAGCATTCTTACATAGGTATTCCTCTTGTCCAGATGGGATAGGGC